TACCTTTACTGAGAAAAGAATACCCTCAAAAAACAATTTTCAATCATCTTCATTTTCATAATCTAGTTCATCTTCAGAGTCATCGTTTAATGAAATTCTAATAGGTTCAATGTCATCTTGAATGTTGTCTATTGTCCAAAAATTATTCTCCAATTTTATAACATGGTTGACGTAATTTTTCCAATGTCCATTGTTCTGTACTTTATCATAACCTTCATAAATCAATATTTTAACGTCGTTTTGTTTGAAACTTGAATTCTTAGAGGACACGTACCGTTTCACTTCACTCCACACCATTTCTATTGGGTTCAGTTCACAGTGTTAAGGCGGAAGTCTTAAGATATGTACGTCTACGCGGCATTGTTCGTCACTGTGATTCCTGTATTTTTCACCAATACAATCAATTTTGTATTTGTCATAAATATTTTTAAATACATTAGCAGTTTCCAGAAGTCCATTTTTTAAGTAATCTTCTTCAAAATAAATGTCCTTTTCATAGAGCCACTCCTTAATTTGACGTTTCACCCAATATTGTTTGGGAAAATTTAATTTCCTAGAGTGATACGATGCATTGTCCAAGATAATGACATTCTTTTTATTTTTTGGGAGATTGCCTTGTGTGCCATATATAAAACCCATGTCGTGCAATAGTCTTCTCAACGTACTCTTGGAAAAATTCGGAAGATGCTCCATTTGCTTAATTTTTTTCTAGTACTACGTCAAGGGTTGGAGGAATATTGTCCATAAAAAAACCGTGCACTACTTGTCTTATTCTAGACCGAGTTGGTTCATCATATCTATTCTCACGACTATTCAAATAACCGGTTCTTTTTTTTCTTATAGGATTTACGAGTGGACCATTTTTACTTTCACTTCTATATCGGAATATCGTTCGCTCAGAGACTCCAGTCATAGCAGAAACTTCCCGCACTATTGTTGATACACTTTTATCATTATTACTGTTTGATAAATAGTTAAAAACATTTAACACTATTTTTTTTGCATTCACTATTTAACAAATTACTGTTTTTGAATTTTATTACACTTGCGGCCATTTTGACACTGACACGACACAAACGTCTGATATCAACTGAAAATTCTTTTAATGATTCTCAAGTATTTACCTGAATTTATAATTGCTGGCATTAGACAATAATTTTGAATTTATAAATAGGTATATTTTTTTAATTCTAAATTATTTTTTAATGTCTGTAACTGTAAATGCAGGTAGAGAAAGTGTGTCATTAAAAGGACATTAAGATCAAAAACGGATTATACAAATAATTATTTCATTTCCACGAATTGTAAACAATTTTGAACAGAAGATATAATTCCGAAAAGACCAGATTTCCAAAATATAACTTTTTATTTTTAAAATACCAACAGAAAAATTATATAATTAAAAAAAATGTAGTATTTTTCCGTTTCACATTCATAAATATTTCCGAAATTATAATTCTTTTATAGGAGCCGGCCCATAACGTACGATTGTAGGTACGATTAAAAACTGACAACAATGTAGTTATTTCTGGTATATAGAAAGTACAGGCCTATCTCTGTAACGCTGCCATCTGAATGTGAATTTATCTATAGCTATTTTTTATACGCCTAAATGATAAGGGTTGTTCACCTTTAATTTTTTTCTTTTAATTTTTCGACGAAATTTTTTATTTTTGTATATTCATAATGTTGCATTAAAAAATACGTACAACCCTAAACTTTTACTTTTTTATCATAAACCCCTATTTTATAAAATTTCCCTGTCACAATGTTGGTTACCGTACTCCTCCGAAACGGCTTTACCGATCTTTACCAAATTTTATATGCTCATTCAATAGGTCTAAAAATCGGCTCCTATCTATTTTTTATACCCCTAAATGATAAGGGTTGCTCACCCTTAATTTTTTTATTTTAAATTTTTCGACAAAATTTTTTATTTTTGTATTTTCCTAATGTTGCAATAAAAAATACATACAACCCTAAACTTTTACTTTTTTATCATCAACCCCTATTTTTTATGGCTATTTTAGTCTAATCTAATATATAAAATTTTCCTGTCGCAATGTTAGTTACCGTACTCCTCCGAAACGGCTTTACCGATCTTTACCAAATTTTATATGCGCATTCAATGGGTCTGAGAATTGGCTACTATCTATTTTTTATACCCCTAAATAATAAGGGTTGTTCACCCTTAAATTTTTTCTTTCGATGCTGGAAGATGTAAACATTAAATCGTGTCCGAACCGGTATGAGCTGCCGACAACGTCGGCAGACGAAATAAAGATGGACATTTCGGTTAGTTTTTAAATATTTTTAAAGAACTGTTACTTGCATTTATGCATAAAATATTCATTAATTTTATAAATCGGATTATTTTTTCACTTACTATGTATTCAGTGATAACACTAATTTATTTACTATGCAATAAACACGAATATTTGAGAAAAGAAAAAAAATAATAAAGTGTTATCATTATACTGTTACTTATCGGAACGAGTAGACATATTTGGAACATCTTTAACAATTATATGTTAAATTTATTGTTGTTTATATGCCCTGCATCGCTTAATGAAATAAGGTATAGTAGTAACTTTCACAATTATTAATTTTCTATTTCTGTGTAACTCTCATAATACCTATTAATTATTACTATTTTATTTATAATAATAAAATTATTAATTTTAAGTGTATTTGGCACGATTAGATCAGTTAATGAAGTTTTATTTAAACAAGTGATTTACATAACCTTAAAAGTACTCAACACGTGTCACGAGCTCCAACCAACAACGGCTTTTGTGTTGTAAGTATACTTTTTAATATAATTATTTGAATTTTTTACAACTATTGTTTCAAATTTTTTTCATAAAACTAATATTTTCGCTATAGTTCTGGCCGTAATTATAATTATAACGTTTTCCATCATTAAGTAATTTCATTAATTCTATTTATATGCGTTTTCTAGAATAAGCAGTGCCCAGAAAACGCAAGGGGGCTGATTTGAGCAGTAATACAAGTAGGTCCAGAAGTATGAGAGATAAAAGATCCCAAAGAACCGAAGAACAAGTCCAGCAACAAAATGCTGATGCACGTGAGAGCATTCAGCAATTGTGTCAAGAACAATCAGAAGATAAACGAGCTGAGCGCAATAAAGTTATACGCTTAGAACAACGACAATCACGCCGTTTTACGGTTAATAGACGAAGAATAAATGACCAACAACTCCAACAGGTACATCGTGCATTTAAGTCTGATTCATTTTTGCGTCTAGCATTCCAGTACGAGTTCGATATTGAATATAATGCTCATTCAAAAGTGGTAATTGGTGCTATGGTTAAGGAATGTCCGCATTGTCATGCTCTCAAATTCAAAAATGAGCCACCTGGGATGTGTTGCGCGTCAGGAAAAGTGAAACTACCTGAAATTGAAACACCACCTGAACCATTAAATGGTTTACTTATCGGCATGGATCCAGATTCTAACGTATTATACATCCAGATGTCAACAATTTAAATTTGAAGATACAACAGTTGTTGCTACGGAACTTGGTATCATACAAATTTATTCATACAGTTTGCGATGCCAACGAAACTGTCAATTTTCCCACAGAATTTTGGATTTGGTTTTCCACAGGATTTGGTCAACTTACTGGATTTGCCAGGCATGCCACCGCATAATTTACAATTGAAAGCTGGATCTCCAATTATCTTGCTTCGTAATTTAAACCCGCCACGGCTGTGCAACGGTACGCGATTAGTCATTCGAAAATTGATGAAAAACGTTATCGAAGCCAGCATTTTAAATGGCAAGTTCAAAGGTAAAAATATATTAATACCACGGAGTTCTATCATACCTACAGATGTGCCAATTCAATTCAAACGAATTCAGTTTCCAATTAGATGGGCATTTGCAATGACAATCAACAAATCCCAATGCCCAACGATGTCTATTTGTGGCTTAGATTTGAGTACACCATATTTTTCACACAGGCAATTGTACTTAGCATGCTCTTGAGTGGGTAAACCATCCAGTTTGTTTGTGCTTGCTAAACATGGGCTAACAAAAAATATTGTTCACGCTATAGCATTAAGAGATTGATTTTGTTTGTTAGGGTTACTATCGTAATTAATATGTGATATGTAATTTTACGTAATAAACTATAATAACTTGAAAATAATAATGTTTGGCGTTTGTTATTTTGATATTCCCTTATCGTTTATAGCGCTCCTTGCCCATTTCACGCATATACCACATACTTACACACTTATAATAAGTAAGAACTTTTTGTCTACACTAGAATTTATCTAGAAACTAGAAATAATTTATAAGGCAAAACAGCGTTTGCCGGGTCAGCTAGTATATATATATATATATATATATATATATATATATATATATATATATATATATATATATATATATATATATATATATATATATATATATATATCGTGAAGCCTTCGGTATTAGCGACTGTTGGTTTGATTTCCTTTATTTCCTTAATGATTTTAATGGACGCCAGTCAGTCTGACAAGGATAAATGAAACCTATTTTTGTCCCTTTACGTGTTGCACTATATATTTGGCATTAATAATGCAGAGTTAGACTGTGTCCTTAATGCTTCTACTAAACTTTTTTCTATTCTTTTATCTACCTTGAGAACGGAATTAGCAACCGTCTGAGTTTTTGGCTTTGGTTAACCAATTATTACATATAACAAATTTACAGACACATTTATGGGATTCACATTGTCAGAATTAATTACTTTAATTAACATTTTTCTAATAAATTCAAATAATAATTTTTTCAATTTATTCTTTCTGTCTCTTATTTTTTGTTTTTTTTTACTATTTTCACGTGATTTTTTTTGACATGTATTTGCATAAATATAATATTTCCAATAATAATATTAAACTTTTGTAAAACTCTAGTGTTTCTGTTTACCACTCATACAAAACCAAACATGCATTAATAATTGTATTTACTGGTTCTATTTATTCTAGGACACGTCCATCCCTTATCAAAATCACCCAATGAATGGCAACATCGCAAAAGAAATGAGGATAATGGGACACGGATCACAACACGGACATTCATCGAAGTAAGTTTGTTACGGAGAAGATTGAATGGGGATCAACAGAAAGTAAAGGGGAGGAAATGTTATTGTTAATGGTCGGTGGTTTGATAGAAAGTGTGTAGAAGACATTTCGTCGATTAATACGGTTGATAGATTTTGGGATATCGCTTGTTTTCGATCCTGACAAGATCGGAACGAGAGCTCCTTATAATAAAGAACGTTACTCTCTTTATTAGTTTTGGGGTTTTTAGAGATTGTGGTGATATTGTCACGAAAGGAAAGATCAGTAGACTTTAAATAAATTTATCTCATTAAAAATAGGAATTAGTTGTAGTATATTAAAGTTAGTTACAAATATACAGGGTATTTCATAACAATGTAAAGCATCACAAATTTGTGTTTTTTAATAAAACGCCCTGTATATTATTTTAAATTTTAAATCCACTTAAACGCCTTGTTACAAAAATAAAAAGAGTATTTAAAAAGTTATAACCAAATTTCAATGAAAATAGTAACAGTTCAACTCCCTGTATAGGAGTACAAATACAACGACCTATTGTAGACATAGTTTTTAGGTGATTGTCAAAATTCACAAAAATGATTGATTTTGCTAATACTTTTTAAATCAATTCTAGTGTAAATCAACACAAAAATTCATTATTTGAAATGAGGTTGAATGCTCGAATAAATGAATTTTTTAAAAAAATAAGGCTATTGTCGAGCACAAGTACTTGTGCTCGATAATAGCCTTATTTTTTCAAAGTTAAATCATTATTTGTTAAACTCTGTATTTTATATCACCATCAAAAACTAACCTCAGTACCTATAGTTTAATTTGTTTAAGTATTTTCTATGGTTATACTTAATGACTTTAAAGATATTTTAAATTTGAGTGAAAAGAAGATATTTCATGAATTAAGTTTCTTATTTTCATTTATTTTAATTAAAGAATTTCAGAATTTTAGTTATTTTAATTAAAATATATTTTCAGTTTTTTTAGTTGACTCTCAACGAATATCTGAAAGCAACACAAAAAAATCCAAAATTAAGTAAAGAAATTGTTGGTATAATTGTAAAAGGTGTTCAAAATGAGTTCCTATATCATTAAAATCAAGGTTGCCTTGAAAGTATGTTTCACAAATTGACAATTCAATATTTACAATGATCGTCATGATGACAATTAAACTGTTTTGACATTATCCGCCACATGCACCCATACCAGACCTCGCAACATTAAAAATTGACCGCGAATAATATTAAAAGCATGGTAGCTTGATGTGATTGGAAACAACTAAAAATAATTTTACATAAATATTTTCGATTTGATTATGTTGAAGTGTCAATCGACACTTTTAGTAAACAATTACATATTGTTTACTAAAACTTATTCGCTAAAAATTGTACAATGGGAATTCACTCTATAAAATATTGCGGTTACCATAACTCCCAAATAAATTAAAATCAAAAAAATGTCATTTATTTAAATTGGATATGTTCTCAAAATTTAAATTTTTAATCTTAAGTTGTAAGTATTGAAATATTCATTTTGTTTACATATAATAATTATAATAAATTTACAGTTTTCTCCTGAAGAAGTCACAAAATAGTGACGAAATATTGAGAAATAACAAATAGAGTTTTATTTCATACAGACCAATTGCTGAGATGCCGTATATCTATATATATATATATATATAATTATAGACGTCTTTAATGTACATCAGTTTTGTTTTAAACATCTTTTTATATACTTCATAGAATCAGTCGTAAGAAAGAACACAGAAAGGTTTGGCGTATATATACATGTTGTATATACATTATGAAGCTAAAGTATAATGACATGTCTCGCAAATAAGAAAACAAAAAGTAGAATAAGTATATCCATGGAAGGCAACTATAAATACGTATTTCTGACTATTTGGTTGTCATCAGTACGGTGCACAAAATACGTTATTTCCACTATACATTATACATTATATATTTATACATTTATATTATACATTATACATTTCGATTTCCACTTAGAAAATTGTTCTTATTTCCGAAGTTTCTATTTCCGAAGTAGAAATCGAAACGTCAAAATAAACGTACTTTAATTTAGAATTTTTGTTAATTCCCAATAAAAATAGTAAATAATGATAAAATGTCTAGAAGAAAATAGCTTCAGAGCAGTAATACAGTAATAATATAACTTTTAATATAAACGATAAATATCAATAAAAAAACTTCGTCAAATTATATTTTAAGATGACCATAATATTAAATTATTGTTCCATTTCTTTATTAGGCTCGGATTTGGTGAATCAGTTGAAAGAGAAAAAAATCCTGAGGATGAAGTTAATGAGTACCTGATGAAAGCTATTGATGCCAGAAGTATTGATAGATTAAGGACAGAACACTGTCGCACTTTATTACTTAATTTTAGAGATCCTGTAAAAGAGTCAAAGGTAATTAAATATTTCTATTTTTATATTATATTTAATATATATATATATATATATATATATATATATATATATATATTAATATATATTTATATATTTATATATTTATATATATATATATATATATATATATATATATATATATATATATATACAGGGTTATGCAATTGAACTGTTACCTATTCAGACGAAAATAATTTTTTTGTGTGAAATTATTTTTTATTGATTCAAATAACAAAATGTGTAAAAATAATCAAAATTTAAGAATACACTCACTTTAGCTCGATGTGGCCACCTTTTGCCTTGACTATGGCCTTCAAACGATCAAAAAACGAGTTGCATGATCCACGAATGTGATCTTCCGGTATTTTGGCCCATCCACGTATAATTGCTTTCTTCAGCGCACCCATACTGGTATATTTTTTAGTCTTCACCTACCTCTCCAAAATGAACCAAATGTAATAGTCCATTGAATTTTCGTCTGGTGAATTCAAAAGCCATTATGTGGATGAAATGAAGTCTGGAACATGGTTTTTAACCATTCTTGGTTCACACAAGCTTTATGAGACGGTGACGAGTCTTGTTGGAACGTCCATGGTCAACAATCGAAATGTTTGCGTGCCCACGGCTCTACAGCAGCTTCTAAAACATTTTCCCGATAATAAGTTACATTGACTTTGACACCAGATTCAATAAAAACGATTGGAGAGCGTACATCGGCGGTTACAGCTGCCCATACTATTACTTGAGATGAGAAATTACTTCGGGTGGCCGTTCGTAAACTCAAACTTTCGTAGGTGCGTTCGGTTAAGTAAACACGATCATTTTGAGAGTTTATGAATGTCTCAATAGGAAAATTTTTCTCATCAGAGAACACTATGTTCAGAAATTCGCCACGTTCGTGCAGGCGTAACAACTACTTTGCTCTTTCAAGCCGAACTTTTTTTTGCATCGGTATAAAATTGTGTGCTTTTTGGAACTTGTAAGGCTTGACCTTGAGCTCCTTTTTCAATATTCGTTGCATGCTTCGCTGTGATATTTTCTGTTCTTTGGCCATTTGATTACCACTACGACGTGGATTTCGCTCAAGTCGAGCCTTTACTTTCCGAACCATTTCAGGTGATGTTGCTGTTTTTTTTTTCGTCCACTACCATAGCATTTAGCAATGCCGCCAGTATCATTATAACAAGTTATGGTGCGATACATAAACATTTTACTCACTTTGAGGTGTTTGAGCTGACGAACAAGAGCTAGTTGTGATTTTCCAGCCAAATATAACGCAATTACACTATTACGTTTAAATTCCATTGCAAATAACTTTTGTTCTATGTATAAAACTTAAATGCAAATGCTTTTGACGGCTTACAAACAACATACTGAAGTGATATCGGACTAACTTTGACGTAGCTGTCGTTATCATTTGCCAGATATATTGATGTGAAGTTGGTAACAGTTCAATTGCGTAAACCTGTATATAAATATATATATATATATATATACTTATTCGACTTCTGTGTAGTATTTTATCGATTTTTTTAAACTATTCAATGATTTGCTGATAATGTGAATAACTCTCTATTGCTTGAATTTATTTTATTTTATTTTTTGACAAAAAAAATTCTTCTTCTTCTTTAAGTACCATCTCCGCGGCGGAGGTCGGCAATCTTTATAGATATTCGAACTTTCGAGACGTCGAACTGAAATGTCGAATAGACATTTCTCAATCTCATAAATTAATATTTTACATTTATTAACATGCGATAAAAAAGCAGTTTTAGAACCATTTTATAATTTGCTTTAACATTTTCTTTGTTTTAAATTTTATATTTTGTTTTCGTTAGTATTTCTCTAGTTCAGCCAATATGTTAAATTCTTTTAAAACTCTCACCTTTTTTACATTGAATAACTCCATATCATGTTAGCATGTTTTGTTATTTTTTATACCGACGTTTGCATCCAGATATTACGTAACAGGGTTTTGTTTATTTTAGGTAAACTAGATAACATATTTCCATTGTTTATTAACATTAAGAGCTGAAAGTTAAACAAGTTGTTAAAGAATATCTAAATTTTATAACTTAAATTGATGGCATATGTAGTGAAAAAGTAAAAAGTTATAATCCCTTAAAATAACAGTCCAAAAAATACCGCCACTGAAAAGTTGTGGGGAGAATTAATGTCCGCTGCAATATCTTAGCTTGTTTCTTGTAATTTGTGATGGTTTTCTGATCAGCTTTTGATTGATTGAGTCATATATATATATATATATATATATATATATATATATATATATATATATATATATATATATATAATATATATATTATATATATATATATATATATATATATATATTATATATATATATATATATATATATATATATATAAGCGTATGGCCTAAACATTATCAAAGGCAATAAAAATGTTTATTTGGTAATAAGTCAGCCCTTTTTCAAACTGTTTTTTAATAACAAATTTAATAAAAAATTTTAATAAGTTTTTTTTAACAAACCTTATAAATAAAGCTTAATACAATCGATTGCGATTTATAAAATTCCTTAACCGTAAGTTAAAATAATATGTCTCCGGGATAAACAAATTGAAAAACATAAACTATTTGGTCAATCTGTTTGAAATTTTGGATACTTTAATAATTCATTAACTGCCACAATTTTAAGCAGTTATACTTCATTTGTTTATGTCACAAACTGTGTTATTGACAGTTATAAATTACTACAAGAATAAGTGTTTTTTATAATTATCTTGGTCAATTGTTTATGTGTATCATTTTGGAAACACCCAAAAGAAAGAACTTTATATGTTCTACATCTTTTGTTCAAAATATTTTTCTTTAAAATGAATAATAAAGTTTTTATAGGCATAAAAGTATATTTTTCACTTTTTATCATTGTTTAAAAAAAGAACAAATTTAGCTATATTTCTTCATGCATTTTTCATCAGCTACCCCTTATATATTTTTTAAAACCTTAAAATATCTGTATAAACTTTTTTCAGCTGTTTTTTTTTTCATTAACTGGTGTATATATTTTTTTAATATAACTAATTAAATTAGACTCATAATAATCACCAGTCGATAAGAATGATGAAAGATGAAAGATTAAAGTGCAACAAAAAGAGATTCTATACAAGTGAACGGTATTTCGTACTTGTATACTCTGTATTCTTTAGACTTTATATAACTGAAGCTTTGTTAGTTTTTAAAAGTATTACGTTGGTTAGTTCAGTAAGAGACAATCAATTTACTATTACTAATTATAGTTTCTTTTTCAGTACCTACTCGAAAAAGACAGAATGCTCACTATGTATTTTTATTGTTCAACGTTCTGTTTCATTACAATATTACTAGTGCAATTAGTCATATTTAATAGGTAAGTCATTCTACTGTTTTGATTGTGCCAATTTTTCATCGGTGTTTTAATTCGTTTAAATCCCTGTCCCCTGATTTATTAATTTAAGAAGTTTTGCCAGTTTTGCTGTTTTAGAGTATATTATAAAACTGAGAATTTACTTTAAAAATATATTTTTTATTTTTATGGGACTATATATTCAAAAAGTATTTCTTTGTGGGATAAATAATGTCTCACGTGAACAAAAAACATAAATTGTTATAAATCGTCGTGAAATCGTAGTGTTCAGACCTGTGTCTTCATAGTTCGAATATATAAAATTATCTTTAGTATTTGAAACAAGTACTGATAAGTAAAAGTACCAGTTATCATTGTAAAAACTCAAAAGTAAAATTTTAAAAAACTTTTTAATATAAATTAATTTATAATATGCACTAAACATCAAGATTAATAACTGTTAGTGAAACATAATGACGGTATTAGATTTTTATTTTGATGCAGGGCGGCGGCAAGTCGCTTATACGTATTTCAACCTATATAAATATCATCAGAGCAGCCTATGCACCTATGTTTATTTCTTTAGTTTCAACGAGGGGTACCTCGTTTCATAGATTATATAAATTCAATTAGTTAATTTGAGAATTGTTTATTTAATTGAGTACTTTTTTTAAACAATTTAAAATAAATATTTACTTTGCTAAATTTTACTTCTTTCTTAATAATTAATAGTAGTAGTAAACGTTTTGAATGAATAGGTAATCTAAATATTTATATACCATTTTTTAAAGTAAAACACTTGCACGATTTCTACAAAGTGACGTCACTTGTATTTGAAATTTTCAGAACCTTAGAATCAACCTTATAGTTCAAATTTTCCTAACACAGCTAATAATACGAAACCCATACGGAACTGCTCGATCTTTCATAGGCGTCAATATGGTGTAATAATCAGAAAAATATAATCATTATTATATTGGAAATTTTAGAATTCTTTTGATTAAATGACCAAAAACATTTATTATTATTAATAATATAAATTTTATGAAATAACTCTTCAAGTCTAATATTCCACAAAATAATAATTTTAATTAAATATATTAGACAATTGTACGCAACTGATACGGAAATACATAAAATATTATTGACAGTTCAGCGGGTGGCAAAAGTGTACAAAATGAGAAACTAATTTTTGTAAAATTTATTATTATTATGGATATTATTTTTAACTATAATACATATATGTTTAAGTTACTTACTATTTGATAAATTTTTCTACCAATATTAATAGGAGTGTAGATAAAATTAGTATCTACACGATAGGAAAAAACATGAAGAATGTCCTAAAATGAGATAGAGAGTATAACATAGATTGCTGGTTACAAAATATAAGAGCTCTTACCTGTAATATAAGAATGTCTTAAACACTAAAGTTTCAAAGAGCAATCCAAAGGTACAAAACGATTTATTAAAGAGCAAAAGAGAGAAAAACAAATAGCATAAATAAAATCAGTACAAACACATCAAGAACTAAACAAAATTCTTACTACTAAATACTACTTACTAGTTAAGTCTTTAAAAAAAAGTTTATGGGCGCTACTGTCCATCTGGGTCACTATTACAAAAATGTTGAATTTATAGATGTGGAAATGTGGTAACCATGTGTGTTTAGAGCTACCACGAAAACTATGCGAAAACACTTTCTAATTAATACAAAAAGGGCACTACTGTATTAAAATTAAATGCTGTATACCAAAAGCGGGACAAATCTTTGACAGATTTGGAGAGCACTGTATAACTTTGTGAAGAGTAAATCCTTGACGGATTTTTGAGGACTTCTGCCAAACAGAGATATTGCTTCGCCCCGTCTAAATTCGCTCTGGAAGCTCTTCTTTTTGAAAGAGTTTTAAGTGCACAAAAACTATACTACTAAATACTGTTGACAATGTCTTAAAATCGTTTGACAATGCCATTTATATCTTTTTTTTTAGAGTGAGTGCACTTTTGTCAAAAGTGGAGTTAAATACCTACTAAATTAAAAATAATATTAAATAATTTTACATGTTCGAATGGATTTATTCGAACATACTTCCCGCCAGGGGGACAAAGGCTAATCATGAAACTAGAAAGTAGAAAAGAGAAGGATGCAAATTATATTAGGTGGAGCTAGGTAGTTAACTTACTTGCTGATGGATCTAAGACAAGTTGTGTTTTTTTTCCGAAGTCGTAGAGTCCGAACTAGGCCATCATTACTTGGTATTAACTCTAAGACTCTTGCTAGCTTCCACTTTAGCGGGATTAGGTAGGCGTCTATTATGAGTAATATATCATTAATCTGTACGGGACATTAAGAAGTAACAGTACACCACTTGGATCGATATTGTAGGGTTTGGAGGTATGAGACACTCCATTTATTCCAGAACAATAATTGTATTTGCGCCAATTTTTGGTAGAGGGAGAGTCTGTTTTCTAGGATCTTTAAAATATTACTAGGCTCCGGTGGGGCTAATAGAGATTGGCCCACCAGAAAATGGGCAGAGCAAAGAAAGGAAAGGTCTTCTGGGCATTCTGAGAACCTAAATATTGGTCTAGAGTTAAGAATCGCCTCAATTTGGCATAGTATTGTATTAAAGGATTCGTAAGGGAGCACTGCGATCACGACGGAGATGAAACTTAGCTGACTGAATGCCTCTTTTATGTATTCCTACACTTGTAGGATTAAAAGGGGTAGCGAATTTAAAAGTGATTTGGTTCTGAGCTGCAAAGTCTTTAATGGATATTGTGTGGTCTTCATTCATAAAAAAATTATAGAGTTTATGGAGCTCGTTTTTTGTCCCATAACAATTAGTCGCATTATCAGACGAGATATATGATGGGACTGACCTTCGTGCTATAAATCTTTTTAGTGCCAAAATATAGGCTTGACTGATTTTAGTGAGGCCGGTTACGAGCTCAAGAAGGCAACACTTAGTGGTGGTGCAAATGAAAAATGCTACATACGTGAAGGAGACGTGGATTTAATACATCAATTCGATTCTTATTAGGAAGAATCCTGGGATGTTTCTCATTGTAAGAGAGATGGGGAGCGTTGGAAAGTCTACATCCAACACGTAGTGACGAACACTTCTGATCATAAAAAACATTTAGTTGCCTAAGCGATCTGTTCGAGAAGGGTTTTCCACTTTTTAATTCTGATAGTTCCCTGTAAAATGATCGTAATTGAAGGTATCGTACAATGCTTAGAGTTGCCGCTTTAATTTCTTCATTATGTAGGGAAGATAAGAACAATACATACAAACATAGGCCAATACTCTTTGCATTCGTGAGCAAGTCGAAAACTTAAAGAAAATGAATTCTAATGTTTCATTTACTTGTATTTCAGGGGAGGCCGTGGTTAACGTAACTTGTGTTGATCGACTCTCGGGTAAGTTTTGCGTGATAAGAAAAATCTTAAACTGAGAAAAATCAAGAGGGTGCTTAATAAGAAACTCTGGACCTGACAGCCATAATATTGAGAGTGTTAAATTGCGTGTAATATCGCTGGGTCGAGTCGGAATATATGTTACGTTAGTTGAGACGAAATGTGATGAAAAGAGTAATCCTTACTTAGGGCAATAATCTTCTTCACACGATCTTCTGCACACGATTATTAATATATGAGTTTGTGCAATCGGCCAATTCGTCCTCAATACATTCGAAACTGACTGAGTTAAAATAACTCCGATCAACACAGCATTTAACTCTAAGCGAGGTATCGTAAGATTTTGCTTAGCAGAAGCTGTTCGAGATTTGGAAAATACTAAACGAGAGGAGACAGAGTAATCCTCGTACACTACTCGCAGATAAGTACATGTTGCAAATATCTTAAGGAAGTTATTACAAAAGGTGTGAAGTTGAACATCTATAATTCGTTTATTAAATACTTAACATCTGGGGAATTTCAAAAGGGAAATGGATTGAAAACCATCAAGTAAAATTTTCCAATAATTTAACTATTCTGGATCGAAGATCGGTTCATCCCAACTAAGTTTAGCCTGCTATAAACGTTGCGAGAGAATTTTGGAAGAGGCAGTGATATAACCGGATAAATTCCTTGGATCGAAAGTCGACATCAGAATATTAAGCAGTTGTTCGAGGAAACTTTTTGGGGATTAAATCAGTGCTTACCTAACAAGATTTTAAGTTAGGAGAACAAGAGTTCTAATTCTTCTAAAGAGTGACATTCACCTAAAATATCATCTACATAAGTAAAATACAAGAGAGTGTCACACGCTAAAGGAAAATCATCCTTACTATTGTCCGCAATGTGTTTGAGAACCCTAGTGGCAAAAAATGGAGATGAGCATAAACCAAAAGGAACTCTAGTGAGCTGAAATACATTGAATGGCATTTCTGGTAAGTCACGCCAGCGAAAATTGAATAGGTCTAACTCGGAACTGTCTACGCATATCTGCGTATACATAGATTGGATATCTGCTATTAAAACTTAAGTGAATGTGCGAAATCTTAAAAAAGTATCAATAAGAAGAGGTTGGATTAAAACCCTTTATCCAGTTGATTATTAACATAACCTAACCGTACATTTGTACTAGAGTCATTTTTTCTGACTGGAAAGTAGGGTAAATAATAATTTACCCTATTTTCTGAGGTTAGGTGCTTTAAAGGTACTCTTTTAATCTGATCATTAGCTCAATACTCTTGAATTATCTTGCGATAACTATCAAAGGGTTGTGGATCAGAGTGTAGTTTCCTCTCTAATTGGAGAAAGCGAGCCTTAGCTGCCGGTAAAGTGCCTGATAATGTAATATCACTAATAGGGCGATTTAAATTCAAAGAGACTTCGTATTGACCTAAGGGAAGAATTTTCATGGTCTTTAAAAACTAAGTTTCTGCGGGGTGATCTGTATCTACAGAATCCTGAATCTGTGGAAGTTGATCAGACTCCCAAAATTTTTCCACTAATCCATGTAACACTTAAAAGCTTGCAACATCTAAACGACTCAATGTACAACAACGTGCAAGGT